TTTAAAGGGGGCGATAGCTCTGACCCATCGAACTATAGGCCGATCTCTCTACTGAGCACCCTTTCTAAGATCATGGAAAAAATTGTTAAGGAGCAACTGATTGACTACTTGAATGAAAATAACATCCTGAGTCAAAACCAGTTTGGCTTTCGGGGGTCCAGGGGCATGGGTGATGTCATGTTTTCATTTTTGGAGAGTTTGTACCTTGTTTTGAATGGAGGAGAGGTTGCTGCGGCAGTGTTCTGCGATTTTTCAAAGGCCTTGGATACGGTTAATCATGGAATACTGCTGCGGAAGCTGAGCCATTATGGTGTCCTGGGAACTGAGTTGAGCTGGTTTGCTTCAATGCTTTTGGGGAGGGATCAGTTTGTTTGGTCGGGTGGTGTTGATTCGGGTGCAGAGGGAATCTTACACGGAGTGCCACAAGGTTCGGTTTTGGGGCCGATTCTATTCCTTGTCTACATCAATGACTTGCTCTCCTTACCAGTATCTGCGAAGATGGTAGCGTTTGCTGATGACACAAGTATATTATGGACTACGAAAGAAAATCCAACCATCTTCAAGACAGTTATAGAGAACGATCTTTCACGAATTAAGGGGTGGTGTGATGCCAATGCGCTCTGCTTCAACATACAGAAAACAAATATACTGACTTTCAAGTGTGCTCTAAATGATATCATGCTACAAAATGAAACATTAGAGAATAGAACCACAGTGAAGTTTCTGGGTCTGCACATTGATTCACAGTTGAAGTTTGAGCCTCACATAAATTGCCTAACGAAAAAATTAGCAAGTGCCTGTTATATCATTAGAACTATTTCTCATTGACAAAGGAACAGCCAGACAGACATACTTTTCATTATTTGAGGCACATGTAAGATATGGGATAGCTTTTTGGGGATACTCCGTGCAAAGATCAATTCAATCAGTATTTATACTGCAAAAGAGAGCCATAAGATATCTATGTGGTGTGGGCTGTAGAGACACATGTAGACCCTTATTTAAGCAAGAAGAAATATTGACTGTACCTTGCATTTTTATTCTTGAGTCTGTCAGTTCGATATTTAAAAAGTTTTCTGGATTTGTGCAAGAGAGAGCGTATAGCCTTCGACACAATCAATTGCCCCTACCTATTCCTAGACTTGCATTGACAAAACACTCGATTATTTATGAGAGCATAAAAATGTTCAATCATTTACCCCGGGAATTACGAAACATCAACGACTATTGCCAGTTTCGTGTGTCTGTGAGGAGGTTTTTAGTCGCCAGAGCTTACTATGGTCTTAATGAATTTTACCAGGGTTAACTGCAGATGCATTGAAATCTGTAGATGTGTGTTATATATATTTATTTTTTTATTTGTTGATGTATCTTAACTAATGATCAAATTTTATAATTGTAAGTTTGTTGGTGTATTCTTGTTAATTTCTGTTTTTTATCTTGTAACGATACTTTTACATTGCACCCTAATGTTAAGATTTTTTTATTGAAGTTCCTTTAAATGTAATAGTGGTAGTAGTGGTTTTAGTTTTTATTGTAATGAATTACTTTGTCAATGAAAATTATTTTTCTGTACAATAAAGCTTATTTTGATTTGATTTGATTTGAACCCTACAAAGAGCATTTTCAGTACTGAATGCAAATTGATTTTTATTCAAAAGATTATTTTTCTCTAAAAATGACAAAACTTTGCTTCGGAAACATTTTTCAATAATTTCAATTATAGTACTTGTCAATGCATATTGGTCTGTAACTATTTGTGGACTTTTTGTCTCCTTGCTTGTATAATGGGATTATTGTTGCACATTTCAATATGTCAGGGAAAACCCCACATTCTTAATATGCAATAATGGTGTTATTAGTTTATCTTCATATTTTTTAATGATATTCGATGAAATGCAATCTTCCCCAACATTCACATTATTTTCAAGACTTTTTATTTGTTTATCTAACTCAAATTCTGTTGCTGGACTTAACCAGATTGAGTTTATTTGCAATTGTAATTATCCTAATAAGGTTTTGGGTATACCTAGTTTTTGAACTTCACCAAAGGAACATGCTTCTGTGGTGGTCTGGCCAGTGGTCACTGAGCAGCTCTGACTTAATAAGTCATTTAATTTACAGGGTCATAAGAATTTCCCTTGGAATTTTCTGAGCTACTTTTACTTTATTATTTTGATTTTGTTTAATCCAGTTTTACCACTATTACTTAATATTGCATGTATGTTGGAAATGTTAAACATGCTATACAAAAATGCACAATAAGGTCAGTACTAGATCAAATTAATATTCTCTTTTATTAAAATTATTACCTACATTTATGTTCCCAAGGTTTAGACAAGACAATTTGTTTTCAACTGATCCTAGAAGCAAGGTGTAGGTACTTATGTAACTACCCAATAAATAAATAGGTGATTAAAAAAATAAAAATAAATAAATGTTTATTCATTTTATCATTAGGTAGGTAGCAGGTTCACAGGTTGCTCAGTAGGTACCTACTTATAGGTTGAATCGGGGGTTGAATAATGTTTTTTATTTGCAACATATATGTAATCTTGACATTACTGGTTTTTTAAAAATTTGGAAGTGTCACTTTACCTGTGTCACTTCCCTCTTCGATTTCCCTCACCGATTTCCCTATTCGACTTCCCTCACCGATTTCCCTCACTGTAATTTATTTACCTTTGCTGGCAACAATGAGAACATGTCAGGTAAAAACGTCAAAACAGTGATGACAAATTTTGGCATGTTTGTTTTATTTTTTTAATATTAAAAAAATTGAATCATAATTAATGGTGTGCTTGCAAATAAAATAGTATACAAACCTCAAAGGAAAGTTTTCATTTCTGTCTCGATATTAATAGTCAATCTCGACGCTCCGCGTCTCGATTGACTATATAAATCTCTCGACAGTAATGAAACACTTCCCTACTCGGTATGTAATATACTATTTCTCTGAGGACAGCACCAAACTCAAACCTTCTATCTTTCAATAACAACCCTTCTTTTTGCCAAAGGTATTTCGAGAAATTCTTTTTACTGAGACTACTGAGAGGCGAGCAAGGTGATGAAAATGTTAGAACATGGTGGTTTAGGTACTTTTTTTTACATACACAGTCATACATCTAGCTGGTTCTAGCCTAGCTATGAGCAAGGGCTGTTATATTTTTCAATTTATTAGGTAGTTTTTTCGAGGTATAAAAACAGCCAAATTGTAATTGCAAATCACGAAAATCATTAATGATTTTACCAGGGCATTTGGGTACCTATTAAACCCGGAAAAAAAATTTAAGATAATAAAACTCCAGAGATTGCTCAAACAAAATTGGACATCAATGAAGAAAACATTTGAAAGAATCTTAGCAAAGTAAATTTTAGCTTTCAAGAGTGAGCTGGAAGAAAGAAAAAATTGTAAAACTCGGTCAAAAAAACTGAATAAAGAGTAGTTTTGACTGTGTGTGAGCGTAGGATAGTAATGATATGGAATCAGAGGTAATGCAAATAAATGGATATATTCTTATATTTCAAACAGAGCACATCGTGTAATAATTGCATTGCAGACAGAATACAGAATAATGCTAAAAATCCAAAATTTTAATAAGTGATGTGGAAGTTGCCCAAGGCAGTGTACTGGGTCCAATACTATTTGTTATTTACTTGAATGTCTTATGCAAAGATATGCAAAATAAAGGGGGAAGTAAGTATGGTAAATTTTGCTGATGACACCAACCTATTGACTGGGGCTACAACTGCCCAAGATATAGAGCATAAAGCAAGCATATGCAATATTCACTAAAACAAAATCCTTGTTCAATGAATATAAATTAATTCTTAATGAAAAAAAAACTAAATTGGTAATATTTGATACAACACATTCACAAAAAGAAAAAAAATAGTTCATTGAACCTCGATCCAATCAGATAGTTTTTAACTCGGTTGTGTTCTTAGGAGTACATATGGACAAATTTTTGAACCACTACGAACATACAGAAATACTATGAAAAAAATTGAACAAGATATATGTTTTGCAATCAGAACTGCGTCACAATATTTAAATAATCAGACTCTAAGAACATTATATTTTGCGAATTTTGAGTCAGTTCTCAAATATGGAATAATTTTTTAGGGAAATAACCAAAATCTAGAAAAAATATTTCTGTTAGAAAAGAGTATTTAGGTTAATTAATAAATTAGATTTTAGGGAATCCTGTAGGCATAAGTTTAAGGAAAAAAATATTGTCACTGTATATCCATCATACATGTGCATAAGAATATTCAACAAACTACCAAATAATTTTAAAACAGTAAATCAAGCAGTAGATAGTCTAAATAGTTCCAAAAGGAAGGTGAAAAAATTGTTAATCGACCTATACAATCTCTAAATGATTACTTTAGTGCAACATTATTTATTTGATATAAGAGAGATTTTGAATTTGAATTAAGTAATTGAGTTTTTAGTTTTAAAACAAGGTTTATAGTTTATACTCAAAAATGCTGGAGAAGGCTCCTATTGAAATTTTGCAATTTTCATGACAAACATAAACAACTCTGTCAATAATTTTGCTGTGTAAAGTTCTAACTATTCTATATAGTATTTCTAATATATTCAACGTGAAAAAAAAAAACACCAAGTCATTGAATAATTGGAACACAGGTTTATTTGAACTATTTTTTCCAACTATTAACTAGAATTCTGGAAAAGGGTGGATGCATTGCATTGTCCATTTTCCAGATTCCAGCTGGTTACTGGCCACTTGTAAATTCAAATGTTAAAACAAAATTTTAAATTCTTATAAAGGTCCCTTCTGTTATTTATCGCCTCAAACACCCTATTTTTGGATAGTAGAGTTTGTCAGTGAAAAACAATAGAACCTCGAATTAAACAATCCAGAAAAAATAAAACACTCCCTACTCAACTACTAGGCAAAGTGCAGACAAAATGTCAATACCGCCCTTAGTCATCCGGAGGGTGGCCTAGCGAATTTCCCTTGAATACTCACCGATTGAGCTAAAATCCAGCTCCACCATGGTCGATAGCAGCAAAATGTCAGTTATTCCGATGACTTTTCATTCATAAAATCGCGAAAAATCCACTAAAAACATTGCATCGCGTCTAAAATAACAATAATTCCGAACGACGCGAAATTTGCAGGGAAAGGTAAACACAACACACACTCATACGCGAACAGCCGGACCAGCAATCAGCAAATAAAATGACGAGGAAAGAGTGGTTCGAGGAAAGATATCTGACGACGAGACTAGCGAGCCTGAGTGAGTGAACGAGAATAGGAGAACCGGTGAACGAAGAAGGACGGAACACTCAAGACCAGCCAAACTACCAAAGAGAAGGAACGAAGGAAGCGAGAGCGATAACGAGAATTTAAAAGTGTGATTTTAGTTACATGGCACCATCTATTGCTTTACATTAAAACTTACACTACATCCTATAATTCTATAAAAGATATCTACTTTTTATATTTAGACTTCACTTTAGAGAAGAGGAGTCAAGACTATGAGTTGAGTTAAAAGCGGGTTTAGCCAATACAACTCATGCATAATGCGTCTTTGATTATGCACAATTTTAATTCATAATGGATAATTTTTAAAACTTCACATTTAAATACACCCGTTCCGTTTATACAGCGCATATAGTGGATAGTGGATAATTTAGTGTATAATGCGTAATTCATAAAGTTGACCAACTTTTAACTTTTATTTAATTATCCATTATGCATTAAGTATAAAACGCTAAAAACTCAGAGATCATTTTCGACTTATAAGTTTTATGTCGAGATTGATCCCGAGATAATTTTTAAGTCGAGATTATTTGCCGACTTAGGCCCGTATTCTCAGTCACACCTCAAATTAAGGACCCCTCGTGACTTGAAGGTCGCCTTGAATAAGGATGCCTTCGCGCTATGCGACTTTGGCATTTCATAGTACCGAATTAAAGAGTCCTTATTGAAGGAAGCCTCGCCTCAAATTTTGCAACTGGCAACAACGATTTCTACGAAATGTTTATTGTTATTGTCATTAAGTTGTCATTATTAATATATGGTTCATGATATGGTTCTATGCGAACAAGGTCAGATAGCTGTAGAAATAGTGATTTGTCTGTGAAATTTATGCGCAAGTAATTATGGCGATCAAGTACACTGAGTCTGAGAAAATGTTCCTGGTTCAGATGGGTACTCGCAGCATAGAGTCATAGTTGAAAATAAAAAAAATAGACGCCGTATTAGGTTTGTTCGGACTTAGTTCAGAATCAGTTCTAAATTGAACTGCGCTTGCGCATTTCTTCATTAAGAACATAAATAAACAAATGCACAAGCGCAGTTCAATTCAGACTTTATTCTGAATCAAGTCCAAACAAGCCCATTATTGTAGGGAAAACAGCCTGCCCGGGATGAAAAATGTATTTTCTTGACCATTTTGTAGATAACCGACAACCATGAAGTTGCTTCGCGATATAAGAGGTATCGGACTTCGAGGGATGCTACTACATATGAAAATAATGGAAAAAGTTCTTAGGAACATATTATGCCCTAAGATCCTTTTTTGTTTTATGAGTAAACTACCCTCTACCCTTATGGAAACTACCCTTTCAGAACTGTTATGACTTTTTTACTATCATCATTCGCTTTGGTATCGCAATGTATGCGAGAATACCAAATTTCAAGGAAAATTGTTTGCCACTGATGCAATATTCGTGAAAATAGATAAAATATATGATTTTCATCCACCGTTTGAAGGGCTGTAACTTCTTCATCAGGGAGCATCTTAGGGCATGTTCATAGGAACTATTTTCTGATTTTCATATGTAGTATCACCCCTTGAAGTCCGGTACACTATTTTTTTCACACCCTGTATAAACAATTAATCGATTAATTTTTTGATGTTTTCTTTTATGTCTCAACTTTTCAACGTTTCAACTTTCCGTTTCTTTTTCCTCTGCCAAATGCGAAGTCTATAGCGACCAAAAATACTTGGTAGTTTATAATATGTGAGCAAACTTGCCCCTGATAAAGAGTACTTCTTGTCTCGAAACATATAGGGTGCATTAACTTGATCAAAGGACTACTTCTTCAATTTCTAATTATAATGGATTCTGCATGTCTCGATTCTCGAATGTTCCTTCTTGGCCTCCGCAGCACAATCCGCATGTGGCTTAATTCACCAAAATGTTGCAATGCCACGGATGCGGTGATATATCGACTTACAGGCATGCTAATGCCTGTTTAATTTAATACTGCTTTTTCTACTATTCCACCACGGTGCCTGCACCAGCTGAATTTAGCCACACGCGGTTATCATCATCAGCGACATTTATCTCTACAAATAAATTTTCCAGCTCATTCATACTAACTACAATACTTATAATAAACTTTGCACATCAATTAAATATAGTTCACGTACTGTCACCAATTAGGTTCACGTGCTGTCACCAATAGGTTAGAAAACCAGTCTCAAGGGACCTCTGGACATTCCTCAAGTCAAGGAAGGAAATGTGCCGAAATACGCATGAGCGGCGTAAGGACGCCTTGACAATTTTGACTCTGCAAGACAATTTACTGCGAAGGTCACCTTCAAGGAATCCTCAGCACTCAAGTAGGCACTATGAATACCGGGCTTAGAAGCACTATCTCAGGATTAATCCCGACTTACAAAATTATCTCAGGAATAATCCTGAATTGTACTTTTATAAGGAAGTTAAGGGCAATCAACATTTAACTTCGTGAACTGAGACATTTCGGTCATTTTATAATCGTTATTCATAATCATAATATTGCATAATCACAATGAGATGGCTCCATTTGTGCTACTGTGCATTTGTGCTAATCCGCAAATGGTCTACTCACGAACGCGATCGGCTATGGTCGGGATCAGTTAACATGATCGCGGAGGAGTACAAAGAGTAGTTGAAGGGTTTGTGTACGCGGCGGGCGCGCGGAACATCTGGTGTAATCAGCTGATGCTGATAAATAATAAAAATAAATTAAATGTTTTTGTATTTAATGAATGGTTGTGGACTTTATTTTTATTAACTACAGTAGAGCCAAGATTTTAGAAATATATACTTATTATTAAAGCGTAGAGTCTATACAGACATGTAAAATTATTTATAAATGTAAAGTTAATAATACATATACTTATCCAAAGTAAGTATCTCCCCAGATTTGAAATTGTATGAGGTTATTTATTGATTTTCCAGAATATTAGGTCAATAAACCTAGCAGTCCCATTGTAGAAAAAAACGAAGGAATTGCTAGGTTTACATGAAATACCTATAGCAGTCCCCCGTAGTGAAAATATTTTTTTAAATTTTTCTTTGATATTAGAATTTACATAATAGGTACCTATACTTTTTAAAATGCTCCTAAATAGTCAAAGAAAAAATTGAATCAGTTAATTATTAACTGAATTACAGATTTTTTTTCAATATTATGAAATTCCTGGATTCAAGTTTACTTATGGTGGTGTGTTAGAGGCTGAAATGTTCCTGGATAGAAATTAGGTACTATTTAAGTGCTCCCAAATTGTCAACGAAACACTTGAATCGGTTAATTATTAAATGATTTATAGTTTTTTTTTTCATTATTGGCAAATTATTGGCTTCACGTTTAGTTGGTGCTGTATCAGAAGCTAAAATGTTTATGGATAGGAATTAGTGCTATTTAAGTGCTTATATTTGAAGAAAAACTTGAATCAGTTAATTATTAACTGAAGTAGGTACAGATTTTTGTTTTTCATTATTAAGGAATTGCTGGCTTTAAATTTACTTGAGGATGTCTTCAGTCTTGCATTGCAGCGAATCTGATAACTGTGACTAAAATGCTGTTGTATTGGAATTTGGTGCTATTTAAGTGCTCCTAAAAAGTTGCAGTTTTTCTTCGACCATTCAGGAGCACTTAGATAACACCTAATTTCAATACAACATTAACGATTATAGCCACTGTTATCAGATTCGCTGCAAATCTCTACACCCCCAAGTAAACGTAAGGCCAGTAGTTCAGTTCCCTAATAATGCAAAAAAAAAATCTGTAATTTAAATAATAAATAACTAATTCAAGTTTTTCTTCGACTATTTAGGAGCACCTAAGTCCTATCCAGAAACATTTTAGTTTCTGACCATCAAGTATAGGTAAACGTGAAGCCAACAATTTCCATTTTCCATTTCCTAATAATGAGAAAAAATCTCTATTTAGTTTAATGATTAACTGATTTTTTTGACCATTTGGAAACACTTGAATAGCAAGAATCCTAATAAGATTGCTTATCCTCATAAGGCGTACGTTCGCCAATTCTCGAGTCGGCAAGGCCTGCGAGTGACGTCGGTACTATTAGGAGCCTCTTATAGTGGTGACGTCACCCGCAGGCCTCGATGGGATGCTTGCGATTCAGGTTGTGCTTGTTTTTTCATGGATTTTAAATGTAGAAAAGGTGATTTTAACAAGTATATAACGTTTAGGGATTCGTTTTTTTAACCTATACTGTTTTAAACTCGGCTTATACATTTTTATGTCAAGAGTTGAGGCCTGTGGCTAAAATGGCACACACTTTCAGCTCAATAAGCAATAAGTGTTCTTGCTCGAATAGCATCCAAATCCAATTCAACATTCTAGCCACTGTCATCAGATTCGCTGCAAGTTCCCCACCTAAGTACACGTAAAACCAGCAGACCCCTAGTACCTATTCCTATTCCTGGTTGTAAAAAAAATCTGACTGTTTTTTTTTCGACTATTTAGGAGCACTTGGATAGCTAATTTGCCAATTCCTATATTTCCTATCCAGAAGCTAGCTTCTGCACATGCACTGGCTTTACACTCGGTAAACTTCGAGCAGTTCAAGCGCGCTCGAAACGATAAGATCCTGTTTGTTTTAGCTCTCAGAGTGTTCTCTTTTGCGTTTTGGTTACAATCAAGCACGTACTCTGACCCTGAGCTTGCTCTCTTTTGGATGGATGGATGGACGGATGGAGGAGCACCAGAGAAATTAGTTATCGCGGTTTTTTTCCTAGATTTCTACTTTTATTTCAGGTCCATTACTAATTCACCTACTCGTTTACTACGGTTTACTAGTAAAATAAAATCAAAACGAAACAATTTTTTTTGAGTTTAGTGACTGCGCAAGGGTTTGAGGATTTATTTCGATCTGTGTTTGGCTTAAAGTCTGTCTTTTTTAAAGATAATTCCCCAAGTCAAAAATTTAGTAACTATGTTGAAGCCTTTTCTACATATAAAAAATTTGAAAACATTGACAATTTTTCATTGTATTGCCAACATAATAGTTGTATTCCTTTCAAGAGCTTGAAACACTCGAGCTACTCGCTTCGGTGCTTAGTCGCCCCCGATTTGCAGGGAACATATGCGTGGTGCAACAAACACTTTTCGAAAGGAATAAGCGCGTGAAGCCCCGGAGCTGTTCCGGAGCTCCTCCTAGGTGTGAAAGGAATACAACTATTGGCATTTTGACTTTTATCTTTAAAAAAAACACAGACTTCAGGGCGCACTCTGCGTATGACGTCACCGTCACGATATCCCTGTTCATACCGTTTCGCTCCGTGGAGTGCAAAGCCGAACTCGGCCTTAAAAGCAAAATAGTCTGTCTCTTCAA